TGACTTTATCCACAGTGACCACAGACTGGAAACAATCCAGTTGCCCTTCAGCAGGCAAATGGATAAACCAACTGTGGTGTTCTCACACAATGAGATACAGCTTAGTGACAAGATGGAACCAACTTTGAATGCACATGACAACATAAATGAATCCCAACAGCATGTCTTACTAAGTGAAAGAACCAAGATTCAAAAGGTGATATGCCAAATGATTCCCTTTCTATGGCATTCTTTAAAAGGCAAAACTGTAGGGTCAGAAAAAGGATGAGTGGTCGTCAGGGGCTAGGGTAGGAGGAGGAGATAAATAGAGGTAGCTTGATGGAACATTTGGGGGTGTGTGGAACTCTTCTGTACCTTGATTGTAGTGAAGGTTATATGATGGTATGTGTGCATTCAAATTCATAGAAATGAAAAAAAGGTGAATTTTACTATATGGAATTATAACTCAATAAAACTGACTCCCAAATCCATTATTCCAGAAAAAAGGAAAAGCTCTCAAGTGATTGAAATCAATAGTCATGGTTGAGTGTTTTTCTTGGCATAACAGATTTGTACCCAGGCTCTGTCATTTAAACCTTGGTTTTCACATATGTAATTTTGGAGATAATAAAACCTACATCTATTGTTTGGATGTGGTTTGTCCCCCAAAGTTTTCATGTTTTAGTAGCTTGGTCCCCAGTGTGGTATTGTAAGAGGAGGTGAGACCTTTGTGTGTGTGTGTGTAGGGGGGAGTGCTAATTGGGAGATGCTTGGGTCACTGAGGGTGCTACCCTCAAAATGGATTAAGGTGGTTCTGGTAGGATCCTGGCTAGTACCTTTGAAAGTAAGTTGTCCTAGAAGAGTAAAACTGACCCCTTTCCTGTCTCTAACTTTCTGTCTCACCATGTGATCTTTCCTTTTCTTTTTTTTCAGATTATTTTATTTATTTATTTAAAGAGATAAATGACAGTAGAATGCATTAAAATTCTTATCACACGAATACAGCACAATTTTTCATATCTCTGGTTGTATATAAAGTATGTTGACACCAATTTGTGTCTTCATACATGTACTTTGGATAATGATGTCCATCACATTCCATCATCCTTGCTAATCCCCTGCCTCCTCCCATTCCCTCCCTTCCTTTTCCCTATCTAGAATTCATCTATTCCTCCTATGCTCACCCTCCCTATCCCACTATGAGTCAGCCTCCTTATATCAGAGAAAACATTCGGCATTTGTTTTTTGGGGATTGGCTAACTTCACTTAGCATTATCTTCTCCAATGCCATCCATCAATCAACAAATATATGAAAAAATGTTCATCATCTTTAGCAATTATAGAAATGCAAATCAAAACTACTCTAAGATATCATCTTACTCCAGTCAGAATGGCAGCTATTATGAAGACAAACAACAATAAGTGTTGGCAAGGATGTGGGGAAAAAGGTACACTCATACATAGCTGGTGGGACTGCAAATTGGTGCAGCCAATATGGAAAGCAGTATGGAGATTCCTTGGAAATCTGGGAATGGAACCACCATTTAACCCAGCTGTCCCTCTGCTTGGTCTATATCCCAAAGACTTAAAAACAGCATACTACAGGGACACAGCCACATCAGTGTTTATGGCAGTACAATTCTCAATAGCTAAACTGTGGAGCCAACCTAGATGCCCTTCAGTGGATGAATGGATTAAAAAGATGTGGCATATATACACAATGGAATTTTACTTAGCAATAAAAGAGAACAAAATCATGGCATTTGCAGGTAAATGATCTTTCCTTTTCACACATGATGCCATCTGCTATGATATGTTATAATCAAAGGGGCACTTCTCCAGAGTTGGAGCTATATGTTATTTGTATGTTACCCAGATTCTGGTATTTTTTATAGCAATGGAAATAGACTAATATGCTTACCTAAAAAATACAATTACCTTGAAATATTGTGCTATATGGTGAGCACCTAACATAGGGTTTGGCACAAAATAATAATAATAATAGCTTATTCAGTGCTATGTGCTAGGCAATATATGGGCAATTTTTAGGCATCTAATTTAGTTTTTACATCGATTCTATGAAGTATGTATTTTTATTTTTAAAGTGGAGAAACTGAGGCTCAGAGAAGTTATGAAACTTGCTCAAGCTGACTGAACCAGATTCCAAGCCTGATTACTGAACCATTTCAAAATCTATGTTTTAAATATTCCCTTCTGACCTCATTTTGTAGCCTCCCATCTCACTTTCTCAGTATTTATATTCCCATGATTTCCTGATCTCGTTGAAACCTCCAGTTTCCACCAATCCTACCACTATTCATGAATCATCATTGCTTTCATGTTTTCACTTTTCTCCTCGATCAGCCAACATTATGTTGTTCAGCATGGTTTGCTTTTCCTTTCCAAATGCCCTTAATTCCACTGCTCTTTTCTTCCTAGACTCAAAAAAGCCAAATCTAGTTATTCTATTTAGCAATTATTGCTAGAGATAAATACACCACTGTGGAGATTGGACTTACCTCCAGGTGAGCCAGGTTTTAACAAAGGCCAGAAGGAGGAAAGGGCCTGTATCCACAGGGTGGAGATAAAGGGAAGGTGGACTATTGTGGAATGAGAAGCAGTGGGAACCTGGTCTGGGGAGGCAATCTGGGGATGATGATATGGGAGTGGACAGAAGACAGTGGGGTGAGGGGGACTTTAGTGACTCAAGATCTCAGGAGTGAGAGCCCTGGTTGAAGAAAACTGCTGGCAATATGCTAATGTTGGCATGAGTTATTTTGGTCCTGGCCGTGGCTGGGGCTAGGAGGATGCTGGCCGGCCCCAGCAGGGAGATGAGTCAGTTGCAAAGTGCAGAGGCGTGTTCTTCATGGGGCCATGTGTGACTAAGGGGAGAGAGGCAGGGTTTTTTTTTTTTTTCCCCTCTGGTGAAGACATCAGTTCCTGGGAAGTGCCAGGGTCTATGGTGGAGCTGGGCCCGTGATGTGCTGGTCGATGTTTAACAACTAACCCCCTGAGAAACAGCCACACAATGACAAAAAACACAGAGTCCCACCATTGCTGTTTCAGGTCAACACTGTAAAATCACTGATTGTAAAGTTGGAAAGAGGTTTGCACAGCCAGGGATCTTGGCAGCTGGTGCAAATTGGCTCCAGCACAACACTGTGCCCATCTGTGCAAAAGTTGAGATTCTATAGTGCTTATGAGAGCTGAGGCAGGAGGCAGGTTCCCGGGATGCAACTCGACCAGGTTCTGGTTTCTGTAGCACTGTGAAGGATAATTCATGATTTACTTCCAGGAATCATTGTGGTCTGGGGTCTGAGTCAAAATAGTACGGGGATCCTGGCACAGTGGCACATGCCTGTAATCCCAGCGGTTTAGGAGGTTAAGGCAGTAGGATTGTGAGTTCAAAGCCAGCTTCAGAAACTTAGCAAGGCTCTAAGCAATCCAGTAAAACCCTGTCTGTAAATAAAATTTGGAAAAGGGCTGGGGATGTGGCTCAGTGGTTGAGCACCCCTGGGTTCAATCCCCAGTACTATAAATAAATACACAAATAAAAATTTAAAAAATAGGGGTTTAGAGAAAATTGTGTAGGCTTTATTAGCTGGGAAGAACTTGAGGCATCTGCCTCCTAGGTGTGTGTCTGCCTTTTGCCCTATCATCTCTGATAATAATTTTAGACCTATGGATTTCTGATGAATAAATTTCTTCATCAAAGGTGTTTGAAAACAATTGTGATCATGTTACTAAAATTTCAAGTATCCACCAAATTCACTCATGTGAATAATTTATTTTCATCTATAAAGGAGAACAATCCTCCATTCTGCAGAAACTTCAATTATTAGCATATTCATGCATATGAGAGAGTGACTTCAGGAAAAGGGGACAGTGGTAAGACTGACAGGAAGATCAGTCATGACAGACCTTTTTCTTATCAAATTAAAAAGGGGTCTGCCTACTCTCAGGTTGTGTGTTTGTGGTCTCTCTTTGTATCCTACATGCATGAAGGCCACCTAGCCTGGATGGATGGTGTCAGTGTCATGCTTTTCTTGTAGTGGTGTATACTGAACTCCTGGTGGGAGTTAGGTCCCAACTTCTTTTGCAACATTTGAAGGGACCAAACACTCACTGCCTGTCATGGGTTGATCCATAAGAGCTGCTACATACAAAAACCATTTTACCTTTGCAACATCACACCAAGAAGCAGGAAGTTTTCCTTTTCCTTCTTTTTCAAGTTGTCCATTGACCTTCTTCGGATATTTGGGGAAGGTACTGTGGATTGCTACTCAAGAGAAGAGGTGGGAAGCGGGGAAGGCAATAGGGGAGTCGTCCCACAAATTAGAGTCCCACCATTGCTGGTTTCAGGTCAACAATGTAAAATCACTGATTGTAAAGTTGGAAAGAGGTTTGCACACGTATGTCCTGGTACCTTCTTTTTTAAAGTGAGTTTTGTGACTGTAAAGGGAAGAGAAGGAGCTAGTTGCTCAACCTCTGTAGATGATCAATCTGCTGAGGTGGTTGTGGCAGATGGCGTTTTGTGATTCTCACAGTGACTTTAAATCTCCTAGCTTGGCTTCCTTCTTGGGAGGTACAGTGACAGTTTAAAGCTTATTGAACCCTAATTACGTCAGATTTATTGACTTATCATTTTGCTACTCTATTCTTTGTTATTATTTTTTATCCTTTGCCCCTCCCCCTAAAGGATTACCTATCTTCAGATATGAGGGAGAGATGAAATAAAAATAGAGCCATCAGAACATAACAGAGAATGAGAAATTGGGAGACATCTGGGCACCAGAATAATTATTTGCATTGAAAAAAAACAAAGAAAAAGGAAGATATTACAACTGAGTCAAAACCTAGCTCCAATCCCCCTGCAGTGAAGGCAAAAAAAAAAAAAAACCCACAATGAGCCAGTTCACTGCCAATTAATACATCTCATCACCAAATACGCTGGAAAAATGGGATGAGCAGTACCTAGTTCAGCAAGCACGCCATCCATTTCCCTTCCCTGAGGCAATTACCTGATAATATAGATGCAACGGCAGCAATGATGAAGGACACAATGACACCAGGTCCCGCCATTTCCTTGGCTACCAGGCCAGACACCACATACATGCCAGTGCCCACGCAGCTGCCAACGCCAAGAGAGATAAGGTCCATGGTGGTGAGCACCTGGGCGAGCTTGGTGCCATGTGCTGTAGTGGCCCCCGTTCCCTCCAGCATGGACTCCACTGGTTTGGTGCGTAGGATCCTGGAGTGCATGGCATACCAGGCTGACCCCCACTGCACCCGCCGGGGGTCCAGTGAGGCCAGGAAGCCACTCATCTTGAGTAATAGGAGTTGCAGTGAAGGTCAGCTGATGGAAGAGGGCTACAGAAGACTTAGTGGATGGTTCTGGAATTCATCTAGTGAATAGGGATCTCCCTTTTAGGAAAGTTCCGCAGCAGAGCAGCCTTCTCCTGGGCATGAATATCTGCACATACACAAAAAGAACACAAGAAAGGAGAAGATGAGACCAAGTGGGAAACAAATGATGACTTGGAGGCATGGTTGAAGTGCACATCAGAGCTCGTTTGTCCTCTGTGTGCTCCTAACATGGAAGGTTCCATTTGCCCTGCTGTTCCCCTCCAGTCCTAAGTGACAGTCTGAAGCTTCTGTGTTGCATAGTTGTTCTGGAGGGGTGTGATGAGTCAGGGCTCTGTCACTTAGGCTCTGAAACCTTGGGTAAGTCATTCCTCTGTGCTTCCATCTCAACTGTCTAATGGGACAATGAAGTCTCCTAGTGCTCATGTGACCATTAGATGAGCATATGTCTATAAGGAGCTTACAACAGCACCAAACATGTGGAAAGTGCTCCTCTGTCTTGACTCTAAGTTCTTCTTTCTTGGCTCTGCCAAGACTTCACCTACGATTCTTCAGCAGGCTCTGTGGGGTCATGATACCTTTATTTTTTACACAAGGATGTAGAATGAGACCTATGATTCTCGAGAAGGGTTATGCCACCCATGGGGTCATTTTGAACTTGGATTTCAAATAAAATGAAAAATGCCTTGGGTGCTTTTTGCTCTTGAAGATTAGGGTGGCATAGAGTACCTCCTGGCATTTGGGGCTGGGGCAGAGACAGTAAATTTGTAGGACAGTGTCCCATCACACAGCTTTCAAATATCTTGCCTGACATTCCTATAGATGAGCAACCTGGTAATGATGATCTAAGGCTAGAACAATGTTGGATTGTTTTAATATGCAACTACATTGAATTCTCCAGGAAGGTAACTACAGGGCTTGGGGTTGTGGCTCGGTGGTAGAGCACTTGCCTAGCACGTGGGAGGCACTGGGTTTGATCCTCAGCACCTCATAAAAATAAATAAATAAAATAAAGATATTGCGTCCATACAAAAATGAAAGTAACTATAGGATAAATCAAAGGAAAGTCATAATTTGTTTACTTTAGAACTTAAGAAGAATTGCCCACCATTTCGGAAAAACAACACTCCACGCAGTGCCACTCATGGTTTGTATATGTCATTCACACCCCTGTAACAGCCTGTCATTTGGAACTGGCACATTTGCAGTGATTCTTCATATTTTGCAAGCATCTGACAACTTCACTTGGATATGCTGCGGAAATTTACATACTGAAATATGTTGGATATGGGCAGGTTATCCATGAATTCCACTTCAGTATACTACAGAGGACAAAATATTTATATTATATTTATATTTATATTATACAAAAGGATGCTTGGTCCGATAAGAGTTGAGAACTATGGTTTTAGGTGATTTCTAAAATTTTGTCAAATTAGAAAACACAAATATTTTATGAAGCTACTTTCCTTGGAAGCCAGAGACTTTATAAGTAAGATTCTATAAAGAATTTTTTGCCGTCTAGCTAAACATTGATTCCAAGTACTATACTGTTAAGCGTAGACATTTACATGTATAATAAGTACCTGCTTACATAATCTACTATTATTAATTAATACTACTTAGCACTTAATGTAGCACTTATCTGTTTCTGAAGACTTTGCAAACACTATTTAATTAGGAAAATCAGGTGTGTGCGGCAGTTTGGTTCACAGGGGTTGGGTGACAGCCCTTCTGGTTTCATTTCCTCCTGGAGCCTAGAGTGTCCGCATTTCCCCTTCTCCTCCTTGCCCCCAATCTCCCCCTGCACCTCCTCCTCTTCCACCAATATACCAGGGAGGCTTCTAGAACTGCTTTAGTTGTAGTTTTGTGGGGAAAAAAGTGAACCTCTCTATTTAGTTTCAACTCATTCAGCATGAATTGAGCATTTGTTAACTGCCAAACATGGTGCTTGTGCTTGATTTGCTGGTGAACTGTTAGTCTGGGATGGTAGATGATGCCCACCTGCTTCATCCTGCAAATGAGAAGCCTTATTTGTTTTTTTTTCTGAGAGGCTTGTCTTTTGTTATTTTTCTGATTACGGAAGCATTGCATGCCTGTTGCAGACAAGCGAGACAGTATAAATAATAAAAAAATGAGTAAATAAAGTACTACAACTAGCATCGGCCCATAAGCCCATGGTGTATTTTCTTTTAGACCCTTTTCTGCAAAAAATATGTGTAAGCATCTATTTGTATGGATATGTGTGTGAGTGTGCACTTTATAAGTAGGATTATACCACTTATTATGACTTAAAACTTTCTTGTTTTGCTTGACAGTATGTTAGAATGTTTTCTCAAATCTATGGTTATGGAACTATTTTAAATAACTGCATAGTCACTTCATAATTCTGGCTTCACTAGTATTCTTACTCAGAAAACTGACTTGTTGTCTTGGCTTTATTTCATTCATTTATTCAAGAAAATGTGCAAAAGAGTCTTCTCTGTGACAGCCAGCCTTGGGCATCAGTTGCTGGGATAAATAAGAATCCCTGGTCCTGCTTTCCTGGAGCTGATGTTTGGTGAGGAGAGACAAAATACATCTGTCAACAAATGAACATAAGGGCTATATTATTGGTGGATGATGTCTCTCCCTCAAATTCATATGTTGAATCCTAACTCCCAATGCCTCAAAATTGTGGCTTAAATAAAAACAAGACTACTGTTTTCCTTAGGATGGGTTCTTTCATGCTGGAGTAGGATGGGATCCTAATCCAATATGATTGGAGTTCTTTTAAAAAAGGGACATTTGGACACAGATACACAAGGACAGTACCATGTGTATATGAAGGCAGAGGCTGGGGTGAGGGTCTATAAGACAAGGAACACCAAGAATTGCTGCTCAACCACCAGAAGCTGGAAAAGAGGCAGGGAGCAGATTCTTCCTCACAGTCCTCAGAAGAAACCAACTATTGATACCTTGACATTGGCTTCTAGCCTCCAGCATAGCATTGTTAAAACCAGCCAGTGTGCATTACTTTGTTATAGCCACCCTAGAAAACTAGTACAGGCTCTAGAGGAAATAAAACAGGGTGATGAGAGGGGAACAGTCTCCAAAGACAGGGTATTGGCTCCTGTGTGACCATAAGGAGCCAGTCATGTCAGAGGGCAGAGTAAAGGTGGGGTCTCCCCAAAACTGTGTGACTCCTACAGGGCAGGGAGGAAAAATTTGAGTGCCCTAAGTTAGCTGAGTGTCAACTAACTTAATCCTCACAACAAATTTGCCTTTGTAGAGGAGGTGATGGAGGCCAGGAGAGGGCAGTCACTTGCCCACAGTCAAGGTTTCCAAGCTCTTAAGGGACAGAAGCAGAACATGGCCTTGAGCATCTGCTTACAGAGCTCATGTCTGGACTGCTGGATCTCTTGCTGGAAGTGCATAGGGGTCATACTGTTGAGGAATTGGTAAGCCAAGATAAGCAGTTTGACTCTAAACACTGTGAGAAGCCATTGGAGGGTTTTATTATTTCTCTAAAAGTAGCTGCTGTGCAAAGTTTAGCAGAAGAGTCATGCTCTGAGGAACACTTTAAATCAGTCCTGGGATGGATATATATGAAAAGTGAGTGGGGTACGGGTTTGCTGTAGAGGAAGGCTGCTAAGTGAACACAATCTCTGAGCCATGGCCAGCGCAATTCTGCAGCCAGGGCAGAGCGCGCACATAAAGGGGTTGTACACAGGAGAGAGACAGATAAACTTTCACAGGATGGAGAAGGGCCTCCTGGGCCACATGCTTTTGGAAACAAGGAGAGCGATCCCACGGCAGGGCATGACCATGGTAAATGCAGGTGGCTTCATTCCCAGCTTTTTGAGGAGTGGTGCATGGGTTTCCTCATCTTTAGGCTTCTTTGCAGTGGTCTCTTGATACACACTGGGATCACCCAGGGAGTTTTCAGAAAATCTGGGGTCTCAGCATCATCCAGAGATTCTGATTCAAGTTGTCTGAGATGTGGCTACATATAGGGATTCTTTAAAGCTCTAGAGCAACAAAGCTGAGGCCCCATGTCCCTTGTAGGCATAATGACTCAAGTGGGCCCTGGTGTCCCACAGATACCTCTTGTTTCCTGTCCTAGCCTGGGCTGGTGGTGGGGTCTTTCTTCAGGTCTTCTCTGTGGGCAACCACTCTGGATACTGCACAGGTATCCCAGGATACTTGTCCTGCTCAGCCCTTAATCAGACACCATCCCAAGAACACTGAGAAATAAACCTGGCCTATTAGGGAGACAGCAGGTTCTATTTGCATTCCATATACATGGTAATTAGAAATCGGGGTGAAAATGTGGATAATTAACTGGAACAAAGATGGAGGGTGGCAAAAATTCCGTGCTGGCTCAATTCCCTTCACACATGAGGCTGAGCTCTGGCTTTATTGATGCAAACAGGGGTTTGGGGGCATTTCCTTTCTTGGTAGGAAATTTACTGGAGAGAACAAAATGTACAAAAGAAAACATGCTTCTAGGTGACTATTGACAATATCCATATTCATTACCCCCAGAATATGTTAATCAAAGACAGTTTTGGAAGCTTATTGCTGTTGTCTTTCCAAGATGAGCAATAAATGCGTGTTGTGCTTTCTCTAGCACTTTAATTCAAGTTTCTCAAAATACTTCACTGCTATAACTAAGGAAGGCTTATGAGGCCTCCGGGAGGGGAGAGTCATCATTGTGGTGTTTGCTGGCATGTTTGAGGGTTCATGGGCTCCAAGTATAATGATGGTAAGAGCAGGTTTGTTTCAGAATGCAAGTGATTATGGTTTAGAAACTCACTGAAGAGGTAGGATTTAGAACGAGATTAGAGCCTACCTTTGGAGGTGAGGAAGGGAAGAAAATGAAGGCTAACAAAAGTAACAGCCAAAAAAAAAATATCATTCCTGCCTGATTTTGCAAATACACCAACGGATTACAAAACATTCCTGGTGAATAGTAGACCAGGCTTTGCCAGAGTATCTGGGGCAGCAGAGAACATTGGCTGATAGAGGCAGCCCCTGTGCATGGTTGGACAGTTATGAGGGCTGCAAAATCCTTCTCATCAATGTCCCCAAGTAAAATGAAGTAATAGAGTAAAAGTAGCCTGATTT